AGTTCACTGTATGAAGGATATTCGTTCGCATTGTGACACTAACCTTTTAACCGCATTTCTGCGAAAATGAATACAGTATAAATAGATAAGATATGCATGGTCATTTCGAAGTCCACCCAATGCGCTGGAATGGCCGACTCATGCAGTTGTGGAATCAACTGATGCATTCGTCCGACGAGGAAATCGACGTCATGATAAGTAAGGCAGCCCAAGAAGCCGTCCACCAAGCCGCAGCTGTGCACTCATGATCATGGAGCGGGTCTCGTTGCGGTCGCCAGCCAAACTTGGATCGGAACCGGGCTGGTGGGCACCAGCAGATTGTCGACGGCTACTTTGGAGAGAACGGGAAACCAACGAGCTTAAAAGATAATATAGGTCTGTCGCCATTACAGAAGTGCACTGCGTCGATGCGTATGCTAGCCTATGGCGTCTGCGCTTACTCGATTCACCATCGTCGCCTTGATTAATCGACAGTCATCGAATCCATGAAGTGCATTACAAGGGCTGTCGTCTTAGAGTTATTACCTTTGATTTGATCCTCAGACGCCGCTACCCATGTCTTGGAGAGTAACTCGGTCTCCATGTCGTTCATGGATAACGACATCGTCGTCCAGCAATCGAAAAGAATTTCGTGTAGACTAGTTTGTATACCATACAAATGTCTTGTTAATAGATTAATTCGGCGCAAAACCTCGACTCGGGAGTTTTTAGTGAAAACTCCGTGTGGAATGGTCAAGAGGGGTTCTGAAACTCAGTTTCAGTGTCGAATTCAGTGTTGGGGTGGGGGTAAATTCAGGGTCAAAATATCATCGACACTGAGTAATATTCAGTTTCAGGGTCAAATTCCGTGTACGTTGGAGTTACAAGGTGTTGATAACAGTTCCAAGTTTTTTCAGAAATAGCATGGACCAATCAAAATCGATTTACCTCTTTTTCTGACATTTTAGAAAAAGTTGTCAAGGACCTCGTTTTGTACTTTTGGTATACCTATTAATTAATAGTAGTGAGTTGCGTAAAAAATCGCAGAAAAAGAGGTAAAAGAGTAGGAAACTGTATTTGGACCACTTTTTCATTTTGTAAAAATATCTACTTGCAACAGTTGACATTAATATGTGTTACAGTATTTCCAATACTAGTATACCTTTTGCGATATCCAACAGTAATTCAGTATTTGAACCATAGGCCTAACACTATTACACGTATTTATGGCATCTCCTCTCGCTTACGAGTAAGCTGGCTTGGCCGTCCCCGAGTTGAGTTCAACGTACTGCACCTTCTTGTCCTTCTGAGTCTTCTTGAGCACCACCATCACGACTACAGCCACACCGACCGCCACAGCCGCCGCAATCCCGAGCCACCACCACACCACCGCTCCCGCGTCATCATCTTGTCCGTTGGTTGTAGGGGCCGTCAAGTCGGCGCCGCTCAAGTACTCGGCGGGGTCTTTCGGGTAGTCGAATACTTCGTTGCATTCCCGGTTCGAGTACAAAAAGCACTCAAACATGTACAATGCATGCAACGGTCTCGCGGCTGGCACCATGTGGCCGGCGCCCTTGACCGTCGTAAACGTCAAGTTGGTGTACCGTTCAGTGTACCCCGCCAGTTGCTTGTCTGGGCCAAACCAGGCCTGCCACTTCTCAGTCACAGTTAGATTGAGTCCGTCGTCCGTTAGCCAGCGCTGGGTGCCGATAAAGTTCACAATGGCGTCGGCATCCCCGCTGTAGATGAGACCTTTCAAGCCGGCGTTGAGGATCGTGGGGTACTTGTCCAGAGAGGATAAGCTCAACGTATAGCGCCGAGTCACGTTATGATTGCAGTCAGTCCATGAGTTGCCACCGCTGGCGTGAATCGCAGCCAATACTTGGGGCTGATTGAGGTAAATGTTTGTGAACGCATCCGTGCACGGCCCAATCTATAAAGTTAACCACACAAAACCCAGTCAATACATACATTCCGTTCAAACTTGCTTATGGCATATCCCTTCAACGAGGAAATAAAGTTAAATACACAAAACCCAGTCAATACAAACATTGCGTTCAAACTTGCTTATGGCATATTCCTTCAACGAGGAAATGCAACATGGATGTTATATTGAGCGATCGATCAGCATGTGTATATGCTACATACTGTAGTATGCTGTAGACATCGTCCATAAAATGCAAGTCATGATTCTTCAAAGTAGAATATAACGTGTAATTACTCTTGGATATTCTATTAATAGTTAGGAGCACTGTTATAACTATTAATAGAAAGAAATACAAGTCAGACTATATAACAGACGACTACTTGAAGTATATATTAGCACTACATACATACATACTGTACTGTACATATGTTCCGTCGAAATCCAAGTTATAATTGAAGAAAACAGGTGCAAACAGTAGTAACATTATTCGAAGACGACGATATATATATATTATAATAGTCCGCTGTTTCAAACGTTTCAAAATGCGATAAATAATAACACGTCGATATACACGTGCAAAACCAAACAAATACTCGAAATGAAGAATCGGATCGTGACCGTACGTTGCCACGGTGGGTAAGCGGTCGCACGTTGTGATACTTGAGGACTTGGGATTCGTTGCCTTGCAGTAAACACACATCCCCATAGATATAATACGGGTTCAGATGCTCCAAATCGATGCTAAACTTGGCTTCTTGGTATGTGACAGCGCACTTGGGCGAACACCCCGGGTGACCAAACTGACACAACCACAATTCAGTGGGTTGGCAGTCTCGTTGTACGGCGCGGTATGCTTCGATTGAGATGAGGCCATGGGTGTAGTAATAGTCCATGTACGCTTTGCCTATCAGAACCGCCTTGTTATAATTGTTATAAATACAATCAAAGCAAGCAATGACTATCTATCTGCATCATCATGCATTAGATTGAACCAACAGATAGACACGGACAATAACAAAGCGAAAACATGATATCTTGGCATACGACCAAATAATACTATACACCACCCCCGAACCAAACAATGATACTATTACCATCAGTCTTTTGATCTGTGTATGGGTTGCCAATGGCAAACCCAGTCAAGTGGAGGTTCTCCACGGGGTCTGTGATGAGTTTGTGCACAAGGAACGGAATGTACATGCCGGCGTAGCTCTCGCCCGTGATGTAAAACTCGCGGTTCTTGTATTGAGGGTACAGCTCCAGAAACTGCTGGAGAAATTCGCGAGATCGAGCGGTGGTCACGTCGTCATGGTACTCGGACGCATTGAGAAGCGGCTGGCTGAAGCCAACGCCCGCTGGGGAGTCCAAGAACACCATATTGGCCTTGCGGTTCCACGCGTACGGATTACGTTTGACGCTCAAGTCACTCTGGACGACAAATGGACCCAACTCGGTGAAGAAGCCACCGAGAGACGAGCAGCCAGGGCCACCATTGAGCCACAGCACCAGCGGGTCCGTGGATGGATTGGACTCGGATTCCACGAGCCAGTAAAACATCTTTTGGCCGTTGCTGGGCAGCGGAATGTGGCCGGCATACTGGTCAAAGTTGATGGGCTTGGCGTCGTTGTAGCCAGGAAGAGACGTGATCTTGTGAGGAGACGAGGCTGTCACCACTGCTAGCAGCACTCCAGTGGCTGCGACCATAGCTCGGAACAACATGGTCGTCCTTTCAAATGCGTGAATGACGACTAATCGGCTTCGTTGGAGGCCATCGCATCTGTGAATCAGTCTACTGTACGGAGCTTCACCCAATGGGAAACCTCCGTTTGGTTGTCAAGGACAGTAATTCCCTGCCAGCTGTAGGTCCACTGTTGCTTACGTAACGCTTTCTCCTACATGTACATGTATTTTCTCAATGTTATTACTATTAATATTAGGTCAGAGTCTAATGCAGAACAATACTATATTCAAGGTTGGGGTTAAGGCGCTTCAGTCGTTAGCGCGATATCTGCCCACTGGCGAATAGCAACAGTAGAGGTCCGGGGGGTTCGGAGGCGACATGGCTAAGGGAAATGTCATAGTGGAACGGTTGCTCTCAGGGAATTATTCGGTGGAAATACCAAACACTATCAAGTATTATACTATTAATATGTAGTATTCACTTGGTTCTACGAATGGCACTCGCAAGACTTCAAAAATACCAAGTGTCATAAATTGTGAGCACTTTACAGTGCGACCATTGTTGCGGTACAGTAAGGTAACGCATCGAAATCGCGAACAGCATCGAAATCGCGAACAGCAATAAAATAAACATAAATTGTGCATATTTTTATTCCTCAATACAAAATCAAGATACACGCGCTGTTCGCGATTTAGAAAATCACAACCCGTCATTCGGACTTTTATGACTGATCGCAATAATCCACTACAAACAACACATTCAGTTGTTTTATGATCAAATAGAACTATAAAATAGTGCTCGAATTATATTTTCCTACCATGCCTTTAGATTTGCGAAATTCCACGGATTTCCAGAGATATGTTGCGTCAAAAATTAGACTTGACACGACGCAAAAAGTGTTCGCGATTTCGATGCGTTACCTTAGTAATACTAGTCGTGTTGTACTATTAATAGTACTATTAGTACCCTGGTACAGTGATGACCTTGACAGCCACACCCGAAGTCGAAAATGTATACTAACGTTAACTTACTTACTATTAATAATTTGTACTTCGAAGTACATTACAAAGCATACTAGTAGTTCTAATACTATTAATAGTATGTACTACTAGTACAGTAGAAGGGGTTCCTGCATGAATTCAATCATTAGTGTAACGTTAGCACTGTTCTTGGACTTCGTTCACAAAGCGTGTCAGTATATTGTAAAATGGGCCCCCACAACCTACTGTACTGTAAGGCTATCCTATGACAGCAGCGCACGATGATTACAGTAGCAAAACCATACAAAACATAGCAGCAAATTTCTACTACTGTAGTACAATGTACCAGTACTACGTACTACTGGTAGTACTTCATACTTCGAGGTAACGTTCACGTTAGTTTATCTACTGTTACTTGGTGGTTCACGAAACAAATACGAAACGTTACATACTAGGAGACTACTACTAGTATTACTTGCACGATACTAGCACGACATTTTTGAAATTCTCGAGTCTGGGTGAGTGAACGCCAGGTGCATGCAACGTCCTGACACCATCAATGGTAAGAACGAACGGCACATATTACTGACTGCGATCTCAAGTACCATGCTAGTTGATGTGTGTATTCAACATAGGCTAGCGTGCATGCACCACAACAAGGTTGGCGTTCAAGTGTGGCGGACATCAGGTACTATAACAAGATGGAACGTGAACATCGTTTGCTTATTGCTTATTGATGGTGTCATATACTGTATGATAGCTCATTTCGATGATGCGACGATTACCGAGGGGTGTGGCGCCGGCACTGGCGAACAACCGGTCACACAGCGACGCGAAATTGGCCTCGAAGACGGCGTTTTTGTCGGGAACGGTGAGTGCTGCAACTTCGTCGTTTGTGTATTTTGAAAACGGCATGATAGTTGAGACTACCATTTTGACTTTGGTGAAATTAGCTTGGTCCTTTCGGGTGTCAAAGTCCTTTGATCGTAGCGTTTGGAGTGGCGGGATGTTGGAACCAGCATTTCCGGACCACCATAAATTCCATAAGTCATATACTTTCCCGTTTGGACACGTGTACTTTTCGGGGGAGGTTTTTGCCGGTTGTAGCCAATTCGTTGATGTGATAGCAGTGTTCACTGTTGTTGATAGCAGCGGCAGAGTAATTCCGTCAGTTAAGGTAGTACCCAA